CCGACCTACTCTTGTGACGAGAGACAATCTTAGGAAGACATGCTCGCCCTCATCGAACTACACGGGTCTATGCTTATTATCATAATAACTCTTTTGGCGACTCTGGGATTTCAAAAGTTTTTCTCAGATCTTCTGGATCTGGTCAGAAGTATCCTGAACTAGCTCTGGACCTAGGAGTTGTTTCTCTCCGATTTCAACCCAACACGTAGGTGTCTTACACTTCCTTCCATACAATGCTTGTGCCGGAGCATCCTAAATCCGAATATGGTTTGCACCGAGCTTGCACCCTTTTCATAATTCTATAGGTGTCTTTATAACAAACTTTGATGGAACCAAGTTAAGAAAGTACATTACCTTCTTCTAGGCATCTCCCCTGAAAGATATACTTATGCCAAATATATATAATAACAAATATAGAATCCTATGTGCCATATTTCACGAAGCTAACTAATTACGTGAAAAACAAACCAAAACTAGATCCACACCCAAACACAGAATGAGACTCTAATACCAATTGTAGGTGCAATTGGATCCGAGAAAGTGTAAATACCGCTAGTGGCTTGGAATGTATTAGATCATCATCATTTTAGTTTCATAGAGATTTACCTATTGCAGTGCAGATCTAAGTTGATCCTTCACGAATTGGCCTTATCAGCGTCCCGACACAAACAATTATTTTGTAAAGGCTGACTTCTGGCAGAGTTTCCAAACTATTCTCAAGAGGTGATAGAGGTTGGTGTGTGGACACTCTGTCCCTATCAAGAATGACCTTACATTACCCAAAATCGCAACAAAAACACTAAAGGCTGATGGCTAAAAGTGAGAATATAAATGAATTCCAAAAAACCTTAGCCCTAGACTACCTAGGCTTCTTAGGCTCTTCTCAGAGCCCAATTTGACTTTTAAAAGAAAAAGCATAAACCCAACAAATGAAGCCACTTAATTAAGTGGAGAAACAATAATTATTCCAAAGGGATGTACAGACAATCACACTCGGAGCCCTAAAGAACGCAAATTGTGAGATTGAGCAAAAGGGTGGCAGGACAACTGAGATATGCAGCGACTTAGGTCATCTGTAAAAATATCCATGTTCCGATAACTATGGAATATGGTATCTATAGTGACAGGACAACTGAGCAATAAATATAGTCTTGTCTTTCTAACATTTTCTATTCCCAATAACAGTGGCTATTCCACCATCAAACTACATATTCACAACAAAGCAATTGCATATTCACAACAAAGTGGCTATTCCATGAGCTAACACTTATCACAGTTGCATGTTCTGAACTGGTCAACATCTCTGCAAAGTGGGATTAAGTGACTTAATATATTTGTCGTGCAAATGATCTAACACTTATCACAGTTATCAAGTTCAAAACCAGTTTTTTAACAAATTCAAAATCAATTTTTGATGGATTGTGCTATTTTTATAAGTAGTCGTTTGTTTCTCCCGGTTATAGGTAGTTGACAAACTATTTCTTGCAAGAATCTTCATTGTTTTGGAACTCTTTGGACGAAATGATTCTTATTGAAATTGTTCATGTTGTTTTTACGGAAAACTTTTCCATCAAAATATTCCGCAAAAATTTTTGACGAAAAATATTTCCCTCAAAATTTGTGACTAAAAACATATCTCTGAAAAAATTTGACGGAAATTTTTTTTTGTCGAATTTTTTAATTGAATATAAATTTCGTCAAAATATTTCCCTCAAAATATTTCACAAAAAAACATATTCATCGAAATTTTTGACGAAAAAATATTTCTATCAAATTTTTTCACGAAACACATTTCCTTCGTAAATTTTTTAGGAAAAAAAATTTCATTAAAATTCTTTACAGAATTCAAATTTCGTCGAAAGTTTTCGACGGAAACATTTTCGTTAAACTTTTTGACAAAAAAATTTCGGTCGAAATTTTTAACGAAACACATTTTCATCGAAAATTTTCGACGAAAAATATTTCAGTCAAGTTTTTTGATAAAAAATATTTCCATCAAAATTTTCAATGGAACACATTTCTATGAAATTTTTTATGATGAACAATGTTTCGATAAAATTTTTTGACCAAAATGTTTTTCGTCAAAAAATTTGAGGGAAATGATTGGAGGAAATTTTCTGAAAAAAATATTTTATAGAAATTTGACAAAAAACCCGTCGGAAGTTTTTATAGAAATATTTTCCATCAAAAAAAATTTCTGAAATATTTTCGTCAAAATTTTGTACGTAAATATTTTTGGTAAAAATTTTCGCTGTAAATGTGTTTTGTTGGAAATATTTTCAGTAAAAAAATTTGATGAAATTATTTTCTGTCAATTATTTTTTAAGAAAATGTGTTTCATCAAATTTTTTTACAAAATTATTTTTCGTTGAAAAGTTTGACAGAATTGTTTCTGTCGAAAGTTTCGACGGAATTTAGATTCTATCAAGAATTTTGACTGAAATATTTTGTCCCTCAAATTTATGTCAGTGATTATGACAAAATCTTGTTCCGTCTCTAGTTCTGACGAAATTTTTTTCGTCTCTATTTTCTACGTAATATGATTATTGTCAAAATTTTCGACAAAATATTTTTCTTCGATAAATTTTGTTAGTATTTGAAACTTTTCTAATAATGTCACCTGATTAAGAGCAACACACTACTGATAGCCTACGCTCCCTCTCCTCCCCCGAGGATAGTGAGCTGCCTATGGTTGTTATATCGTAAGGATAAAATATAATACTTATTTGTTCTTTAATTGTAAAATAGTTTGGTTATGGATAACCATCGAGAACCAATTATTTTTATGATTTAGTAAATAACCAGTTTATAAAATAAAATGCAGTTTCATATGAAACTGGTTTTTAAAAATAACCGATTTTTAAAATGTGGAGCGGTTTGATTATGGATCGGTTTGGTTCTTTTGGACATTTTGAACACCCCTATCCACGAGGTACTCAAACAAAAAAAGGAACGAGCACATATCGTATCTTTGCTTTTTATAATAGCAAAAGCGGAGTGGAATGATAGGCCAGAGATTGAGACCATCCATTATTTTTTCTGAATAGAATACATTTACTTGAGAAACGCCCTACTATCAGAAAGAAAGACCCCGTTATGACGGATGAAAAAGATTTGTTATTAGCTTATTCAAGTAGTCGAAGGTCCTTAACTTAAAAGCCTGATTCACCAAATATTTTTCTTCCTTTTTTTTAATAAAGAGTAAACACCCTTTTTGGTCCCTGGCAATATCTATGAAATCCTTTTTAGTCCCTGGTAATAAAAAAGGACCAAATTGGTCCCTAACAGTATGTAAAAAGGGCCACGTTAGTGATGGAGGAGTTGACATAAGGACTAACGTGGCCTTTTTTTTCATAATTTTAGGGACCAATTTGGTTCTTTTTTATTGCCAGGGACTAAAAAGAATTTCGTAGATATTGTCCACTTTCTAATAAATAAAAAAACTGTTCTGTATCAATCTTTCGTTAGTTTCTTCTTGTTCGTTGGATGCTCAATATCCAGTTGTCTTTTTTAAGAGATTTATTTTTCTTTTGAATCAAATTCATATTCTCTTCTTCTTTTTCCCTCCTTGACTCTGAATATTCAAGCATTAGAAGAACCCAGTGGCTTACGCTGGAGTGTTCAGAATAAAAATAAATCTCTTAAGAAAGACGCCTGGATATTGAGCATCCAACGAACAAGAAAAAACTAACGAAAAGATGATACATAACAGTTTTTTTATTTATGAAAAAGAAGGAAGAAAAATTTTCAGTTTTTAATTTTGGAAAAAGTAAGAAAAATATTTGGTGAATCACATGGACTTTAACGGAGTTTATTGTCTCACTAACGGATATGCTTAATTATCTTAATTGCATAGTTTAAGGTGATTAATTGATTCAATTAAAAGTAGAAGGTGCCTTTTTGGATAGAGCTCTAAGTATAAGGTGCTAAATTGTAATTTAACCAAAAAAAAATTTACTCTTAAAATAATAATACCTCCCTTTTAATGCAAGGCACAGCGATGCATCATAAAATAACGTATCTAACCTTCATTCATTTTCTAGCTGTTGCTTTCCTCCAAGACCTTCGAAGCTGCGTAGGTATAAAAAGTAAAATAAAAGAAATGATTTTAAAAGGCAACAGCTCCGCCACTTCCCCCGCCCACTATAGTTACTTTTCTTAGAAGCAAAAAAAGCTTGTAAAAAGAGCTGTAGAAGGAAAATGTAAAATAGTTGAAAAATTAAACCAAAAGATTTCAAAGGGAATTATTTTGTGTGTCCAATTTTTTTTTCTTAAGTTGCTATAGTCATTTTTTTTTTCGGGATAAAGATATTCAAAGCAAGTTGTTAACATTTATTAACTATTAATTTTACAATAAATACTTAAGGGGGCGTTGGGTAGAGGAGAAATTTTTTTTTTATCCAGGAATTCAAATTTTCAAAAATATGATTTTTACATTCAATTTACAATAATATTTGAAAATTAAAAATTTAGAAAAATGTAGCTTCCCGAAAATCCCCAAGAATCCGGCATATCAAACGAGCCCTAAAAGTCATTTTGATAGAGTAAATATTTAACAAATGCATGATTACTCAATATTAGTATTGATATTCAAGAAAACATAACATCGGAATAATGTCCTTTCTTTTTTATTCTTAAATCTCAATTACTTGTTAACTTACATTTTTAATTTTTAAATTTAATATAAAATAAATGTTCACTATACTTTCTTCCATTAAAGTGATATTTTGGAGGATTAAACATATTATATTTTTGTTTTTGAAATATCAAATAAACATTTATCTCAGAAGTATATAAAAAACAAAACAAAATAGAATATCAAGCAAGTTGGAAATAATATTAGAAAGAGACATTGGGTCCGACACCTCTCCCCTGTGTACAAATGAGCCCTCTTTGGCGTTTTCTCTCTTTGGACTTCTTTTGACTTGTTTCTCTCGCTTCCCTGCACTTCCTTGCATAGGTAACCTACCTCTTCTGCTTCTCTCTCTGTCTATTCCCAATCCTCGCAATGCTTAATCATCATCTTCTTCTTCTGCCTCAGATCCAGCAAATGCTCCAGCTTACGTCTACTCTCTTTAGCATTTGAGACCAAAACAACCTTATCTCACTCTCGGTCTTCGATTTCTCCACCCTTGCCGGAGAAAAACCCTAGATCTGCAATGCTTCATCTCCGGCACCGCCGGGATTCCACACCGGCCACAACCAGGTGGCGCAACAAGGTAGGTGACCGTGTCTCGTGTAAAGTCCTCGGGCGGAGTGAGTGCTCTCCAAACGGTGTGTTTGATGTGACGTGTGACTTGTTTCCTTGTTTGTGCAGTTCGACGAGAATCTGGAGCAGTGGCCACACCTCAATGAACTGGTTCACTGCTACACCACGGATTGGGTCAAGGATGATAACAAGTATGGCCACTACGATAGCCTCGGTACGCCGTCGTTTCAAAACCAGATATACGAGGGCCCTGACACTGACATTGAGACCGGTATTTCGCTTTTTTTATTGATTATTGTTATTTTGTTTTAAAATGATGAAATGGGGTTTGAAAAAAGTGTGACTTAGTGTTGGGAGAGTGCGTGCTGTGAATTTGAATGTGAGTGTGTTTATATAGTTGAGGAAAACTATTAGCATGTGGGTGGGCTCTAGGTTTTGAAATGATCTACTTGCTGTGGAATGTGGATGCTGTGATTTAACTTTAGTGATTGTTGCAAAGTTATTTATTTATTTTTTTAATTTGAATGGTGTGCGCAGAAATGCGGCTTGCTGGTGCAAGGCGAACGAAGGGTGAAGATATAAATGAAGATGACATTCCTAGTACTTCAGGAAGGCAATTTATGGAAGCGGCAGATGGTGACTCGGATGTTCCAAAGGTTGTTGGGGTTTAGTTCCATGTTTTAATTATATTGGGTGATTGTATTTCGAAACAATATCAATTCTGATTTTGTTTTGTGCTTTTTTTTTTTCTTTTAATTTATTATGCAGCATATTGGTCAGTCTCCTCTTCCCGCTTATGAGCCAGCATTTGATTGGGAAAATGAGAGGTCATTGATATTTGGACAACGGATACCGGAAGCTCCTATATCACAGTATGACCGTCCTGAGATGTTGTTTCTGAGTAGAATGATTTTTTTGTCTGCTTTTCTTTTCATTTTTTCTCAACTGAGTTTTTCTTTGTTGTTCTTTTTCTGCTCGGCATCTCAGTGGAATGAAGGTCTCTGTAAAAGTTCAGTCTTTACAATTTCAAGCAGTATTAGTTGGTGAGTGCTTTGCTATTGGTATTGGTGGGATAATGTAGATGAATTGCTTCCTCTCTGTGTTGCTGTAATTTAGTTTTTAGTGTTTAGGCTGAAGGTGGATTCAAGTTTCTGACTCAAAGCTTATTTTTGTTCTCTGTTTTGTAGAACCATTTTATGGTACAATTTGCTTATACAATAAGGAGAGAAGAGAAAAATTGTCAGAAGACTTTTACTTTCATATCTTACCTACTGAAATGCAGGATGTAAGCTATACCAGATCAATTTTATCAAATTTTCTTGGATATGTATTTTTTTTCCTTTTTAAATACATGAAATTAATGGGTATATTCCCATTTTCACAATTTCCAGGCCAAAATTACACATGAACCTCGTGCAGTCTTTTACTTAGATGCGCCATCTGCTTCAGTTTGTTTGTTAATCCAGTTGGAGAAGCATGCTACTGAAGAAGGCGGGGTTACTCCTTCTGTTTATTCACGTAAAGATCCAGTATGTATTGATATTTTTCTTCGTGTATCAATCATAGGTGATTTTGTATTTATGGTGTCAATTTATTGGTGATTGATTATGTAATTGAGGGTAAAGGCGGGTCTTGGAGCAACGATAAGGTTGTTCTTTGTGATAGGAAGATTACATGTTTGAGTTTGGGAGACGACCTTTTTGCAAAAATGCAAGTGTAAAACTGTGTACAATCGACCCTCACCCCTACCCTCGCAAGTCAGGGAGCCTTGTGCATTAAAATTTGCCTTGTTATTTTATAATTAAGGATGATTGATCCTATATTTATTGGAATTCTAATATATTTAGGGAGAAGGAGGATGGAGATGGAGAGACTAGGTGCCTCTTGAAAGCCTTGGGCATCGAGGTTGTAGACCCTTGAAGTTTGCAATACTTAGTACTTTTATTTTGTTTTGAGTGATTTGATCCATTGTGCTTGAAGATCATCCTTATTTTATGTTAGAGATATATAAAACAATTAATGTAGCCTCACCCAATAGCTTAAACTTTTGGGTTGAATTGGTTTTTTACATGGTATTAGAACCTCACATCATGGATTCGATCCTCATTGCCCCCATTTAATTAATTAATCAAGTCTTGTGGAGTTTCTTAACACAAGTAGGTGAGCCTATGTACTGTCCATCTTTCAAGCCCAATGAGCTTTCATGTGAGGGGGTGTGTTAGAGATATATAAAACCAGTAATGTAGCTTCACCCAACAACTTAAGCTTTTAGGTTAAATTGGTTTTTTACATTTTAAAAAAAGAAAAAAAAAGAAATATTGGCTCGGATTTCGATAGGTGTGTAACACGAGATAAGCTTTTTTATGTAACATGAGAAAAACATTTCTCTTTGTTAAAATATTTAGTTCCAATCACATCTATTTATTAATTGTTTTTTGACATATTTTATTTCATGGGGATAGAAATGAGAAGATTTTGAGATATTGGTAACTGTGCGAAACCGTAGAAAACAAATGTAATATGGTGTTGGGAAGCTGAGCCATCATAATTAGTGATTAATAGAGATAGTGGTACACTAGGAATTAAAGATGCATTTGTAATAATCATCTAGGAAAATAATTTTCTTTTGTAAATATCAAATGCATTTATTCTCTCTTTGTATAAGTTGAAAGAGAAAAAAATTGAAATATTATTAATCTTTTTGGTAAAAAAAAATGTGCAAGAGTTACATTATTAATACATATAAACCCACCAATCACAATTTCCCCAATTTCACGAAACCCTAGGTTTATAAATTCTCAAGAAACTCAAAGAGAGTCTTAGGCCATTACCTCAATAGCTCCAAACAAAGGAGATGAGATCCAAGCTTGAGGGGGGTGTACTGCACATAAATAGTTCTAGGGTCTCACTAACTTTGGCATAATTGCAAATTTGCCTCAAAACTTTCAATATTTGCACTTTTGTCACGAAAAATGACTTAGCTCAAAATTAGACTTTTTGCCTAATTTAGCCTCTTAATTGCATATAAATTCCCGTTTAATGATTTAATTATTATTTTATGGTGCACTAGGAATTAAAGATGCATTGGAAATAATAATCTAGGATAGTAAATGTCGCTTGTAAATTCTCTATTTGTATATAAATAGATGAAGAGTTTTTTTGAGTTGCAACCCAAGCAATTCAACCAAACGTTGCGTGTGTTAGACAGTATTCTATTTTCTTTACAGTAAGAAGGGTGGTGTTAGTTTGTCTATGGTGCACTAGGAATTAAAGATGCATTGGAAATATTCATCTAGGAGAGTAATTGTCTCTTGTAAATATCAAATGCATTTATTCTCTCTTTGTATATAGATAGATGAAGAGTGTTTGTTGAGTTGCCACCCAAGCAATTCAGCCAAACACTGCGAGTGTTAGACAGTATTCTATTTTCTTTACAGTAAGAAGGGTGGTGTTAGTTTGTCTATGGTGCACTAGGAATTAAAGATGCATTGGAAATATTCATCTAGGAGAGTAATTGTCTCTTGTAAATATCAAATGCATTTATTCTCTCTTTGTATATAGATAGATGAAGAGTGTTTGTTGAGTTGCCACCCAAGCAATTCAGCCAAACATTGCGAGTGTTAGACAGTATTCTATTTTCTTTACAGTAAGAAGGGTGTTAGTTGTCTTTTGTTTCTCTGAAAGCTGATGTGTACTCTTTTATTCTTTCAATTTCTTTAAATTATTAATTAACAAAAGAGAAGCAGGGTATAAATATGCATTTTCCAGTATGACTTGATTTTTCTTCTAGAAATAAATATGTTCTTTGAATTCTGGTTTGCTCTGTGGAAGCTTGCTTATTTTAGTATATAATTTGCAGAGTAATTGGTATTCGTGCATGAAATGATATATTGTCAGAAATTTGCTTGTGCTTTAACGTTAACTTCACTTGAACAGGTGCACTTGACTGAGAGAGAGAAGCAAAAATTGCAGGTGTGGTCTCAAATCATGCCTTACAAAGAGTCCTTTGCATGGGCCATTGTATCGTTATTTGATAGCAGTATTGGCGCAGCTTCGGCTGGGCCTGCTTCTCCAAGCAGCCCTCTTGCTCCAAGTGTTTCTGGTTCAAGTTCCCATGAAGGTGTTTTTGAGACTAGTGCAAAAATCTCTTTAGATGGGAAGCTGAGTTACTCAAATGGAAATTCTGTTATAGTTGAGGTTTCAAACTTGAATAAAGTCAAAGAAAGCTATACTGAGGAATCACTTCAGGTGTGTGTGTCAGGTTTCATTTGGTTGAGACTTTTCTTCTACGTGACTGAATTGAAGGGATAAAAATTCTGGCTAAAGTTTGGTGCTATTTGTAGTAATTTTAAGTGATATTATTGACTTTGACAATTTACATGTGACAATATTGCAATCGTTCAGTATCCATTGAATATTATTGATTTTTTGCTCTTGTATGGGTTTGTTATTATGTTCCTCCATCTAAATAAATGTTAAATTGTGATTTTGTCATTCTTTATGATTTGTTTCTTCCATTCAATGTGATCTAACTTGTTTTTAGTTGGTCTTATTTTTTGGGCTGCAATAAAAAAAAAAAAAACAGAAAATCTGCACTTGATCTATTTAATCTATTGGACACTATGCTGTGCCACTAGTTGTTATACTTTTAAGTATGAGTTCTTGCTGACTGTCCTTTTCTCTTTCCTTGAGAAGACAAATTACTATATGACTGCAATGATTTTAAAATTAGTGTTTTTTGCACTGATTTGTTCCTTTTGGCTGGTAATTCTTAAAAAATGTCAAGGATCCCAAGCGTAAAGTGCATAAACCTGTCAAAGGTGTTTTGAGACTGGAAATTGAAAAGCATCAGATTTCCCAAGCTGATTTGGAAAATGTATCAGAAACCGGTAGTACAACCAATGATTCTGTTGATCCAGGGGATCATATTGCAGATTCATCATCTGGAAAGTATCCAAGTACTGGTGGTGATGATCCTCAAGGTAGTATCTCCAGGTGGAATGTCTACGACGGGAAAGAAGTTTCAGGAAATGGAGCAAATCAACATGGAAATTCAGATTTTAATGCTGATGATGTAAGCATTATGTCTTATGACTGATTTAACACCCCATAGTTACCCATTAAAGTTAAATTTTAGTGTAAAATGTACTGTTTAAGCTATTCATGGTAACAATTTTTTTATCTTAAAAGTTCATTTGTGTAGCCAAGTTCTCAATCGATAGGTTCTTTAGAGTCTTTGCAAGGAAGATAGTGGTGGTTCTAGATATTTGAGTGTATGATCAAGGGAATAGCTTTGTGGTGTATCTAGCTGTTAAGTTTTATCATTATTGAGTAGATTACGAGAATGAAGTTATTAGCTGTTATAAGTAACTCTTTTCCAAAGTTATTGAGTAGATTAAGTTTTATCATCATTGAGTTGATTCAGGGAATGAAGTTACTAGCTGTTATAAGTAAGTAACTCTTTAACCAAGTTATGCTGAAATGCATATATAAGGGTGTGGTCTGCACATGGTATAATTATGTAAATTTGGACATATGCAATGGTAGAGGTTCATTTTTAAATGGTTTATTTCTAATTAATGGTAGGTGAAAAGGGAACTTCTGTACAATCCCTAATCACTTCAAGGAGAGTTTAATTTTCGACACTTGGTAATTCTTAATTCCACTTCTCTTGCTGAGCACTTCTTGAGGAATATATAAATCTTACTAGTCTATATCGTGTTTGGTTAAGATAGTAAATGCCAATGGTGCTTAATTTTGTTAAAGTTGTGAAGGTATTTCATGATTCTGTGGTTAAGTTAATCTCATTTCTATATGCCATATCTCTGCTAATATGCTCTATATTGATCAACTTATAGTTCCATGCTTTTGACTTCCGCACTACAACAAGAAACGAGCCTTTTTTGCAACTTTTTCACTGCCTGTATGTGTATCCGTTGACTGTAAGTTTGGGTAGGAAAAGGAATTTATTTATACGGGTTGAGCTCAGGGAGGATGATGGTGATATTCGTCGACAGGCCTTGGAGGTAATGGTCTTCATTTTTGTGTTCTTTTGTGGCAAGTCATGGTCCGTGCTATACTTAATTTTATTTTATTTGTTTTTTGGGTGTGACTAATCTACTCAGGCAGTGTACCCTAGAGATCCAGTTTTTGATGCATCATTTCAGAAGTGGGGTCACACCCAAGTTGCTGTTGGGGCTAGGGTTGCTTCTTACCATGATGAAATAAAACTTTCCCTTCCTGCTATGTGGACACCAATGCATCACCTTCTATTTACTTTCTTTCATGTTGATCTGCAAACAAAATTGGAAGCTCCTAAGCCTGTAAGTTCGTTTAGGTGTTCCACTTTATTTCTTGTTTTTTATTCATGCTCTTTATGGCTGGTTGTCTAGGGCTGCTTATTGATTCTTTTGAATTGATTATCCTTTTTAATTTTTCCAGGTGGTAATTGGATACTCCGCACTTCCTTTATCATCACATGCTCAGTACGTTCTCTTTATTTGATTTTACTTTCTTTGGTTAGACTTGAATGTTTATTTTGCTAATGAGAGTTCTTGCCAGACTGCTGTTGCTTAGCCAAACCAAATGGACTGCTATAATACAAATGTCAATTAAAACTTTAATGACTATAATGGTTATTGCAAGCATGCTACTCCTTAGCCAAACCAAATTCCCGCACTGCTTTCTTTGCATTTTTTCTCGCCAATCTAAACATTTGCAAGTTCTCTTCATTGGGACTTTTATGCAAAGATCTAAAGTATTCCTTCTTCTGTTTAATTGCCTCTTGCACCTCTCCATTTCATTACCAAGTTTCCTTTGTATGAAATCCATTTTCTTTGCTTTCTCCCAACACCCTCCTTCCCATATTATGAATACACATAGCCATCTCATTCCATATTACATTTGCTCCTCCATCAAACTCCTTTATGCAACATTCTTTCATTGAACTCTCTCTCTTTTTCCTCCTTAAGCTTCTACTATCTTATCCTTGGGTTCTGGGCCCTCTTCCTCAATATAAGTACTTTGTTGAATCGAACCTCCCGGACTACCAACTTATGTTGCGTAGCGACACACTCTCCAGGGTAGACTTTACAGTCTACAGAAGAAGTTCTATCTTCTCTTCTAGCCACAAAGAAATCAATCTGACTACGATTTTGGCCACTATGATATGTGATTAGATATGACTCCTTTTTTCGAAAAAAGGTGTTCTTTAGTATCCAGTCGTAGGCGAGTGCAACATTCAAGATATCTTCTCCAGTCTTGTTTCTTGTCCCATAGCCAAAACCTCCATGAATTCTATCAAATCCTCCATTGCTTTTATCAACATGACCATTTAGATCTCTTTCTAAGAAATTCTTCTCCTCTCGTGGTATGACCCTCAAAACCTCCTCCAAGTCTTCCCAAAATTGGCTTTTATCATTTGGTTGCAATCCAACTTGGGGTGCATACACACTGAGAATATTCAAGTTTAAATCACCCACAACAAGCTTAACCAGAATAATCCTGTCGCCTTTCGTTTTGAAGTCAACAACTTTTTCTCAGAAACTTTTGTCGAGCATGATTTTAACACCATTTCGACTCTTGTTTATACCTATGTACCATAACTTGAAACCAGTTCCATCCACTTCCTTGTCCTTTTCTCCAACCCACTTAGTTTCCTGCAAGCAAACAATATTCACTTTTCTTCTAGCAAAAACATCTGCTAACTCCCTCAATTTACCTGTTAAGGTGCCTTTGTTCCAAATTTCCAATCGCATCCTTAACCCCTGGGCTGTATTGCCTGCCACGTGTTGGGACCTTGTCATATTTCTCACCAAATTCGGGTGAAGACCTGGCACCTTGCCTTGAGGCAAGGACCCTAGCTCATTTATCACTACACCCAGGGCCCGATGTAGCGCCTTTCCGTGTGGCAAGGGACCTAGCCCATTTTTTGCTACACCCGGGCCCCGATGCAACGTGGTGCTATGAAGGGTACGCCTCAACGAAAAATCATAAGGGTTCATCTCATAAATATAGCTGCTTTTTATGGCTGGTTTGCTACACCTGGCGCCAACCCTCTTCCTTTATCCTGGCTTGGGACAGACCATGTATGCAAGCACACGTAGGCGGAGTTTAGTAACAAATAAGGGAATTAGGAGAAAAGTTGAACACATAGCACACATAGAAGGTTGAACACTTTAATTAGAATTAGGAGAAAAGTTTACGCGGTGATGTTTAGCAAACTTACAAGTATCACAATCAAAAGACTCAATTTACTCTTTTGAAATTAAAAAAGGAAATATAAACTTTAACGAAGGAATAAAGGAATGTCCAAGATGCATATGTTGAAGCCAATTTTGAGAACCATCTGCCACCTTAAATGAAATGACATACTATAGAATATCATCTGCCACTTTGAGACCTTGTACGTAGTCATAGAATCTGAAGAAGTCAAGTTGGCCTAGCTGTGGTGAATTCCCTTGATCCCTCCTGCGCTACTAGGGCCTTGGTCATTCCCAAAATGAGCAAGCTGAGGCTAGAGGGCATGTGAATGGGTCCCTGGTAGTGGTTGGATGGTCAGGAGGTGGTAAACCACTTGTTGAGGTCATTTCTCGAAGAAGTTGGAGGGACAATAGTGGGCAGTGGGCAGCTGATGGTGCAAATGGAGTCCTGAGCATGATGAAGATGTAAACAAAGGGAGGAGACCAGCTACAATGAAGGTGACTGCTATGGAAGCTGCGGTAAAGGCAGGCTAGGAATAATTTGCAGATGCAGAGTCTCCCCATATTGGGAGCTCTGGTACCAACTTGAATGGGTGAAACCTGAAAATTATTTTGAATGATTCAAAACTATACACTACATTACAAAATATATACTAAACTTTAAAAAACTTTCCTAGAATTTAATAAAGCTCAATTTAATAACCAATTCTAGTTACAATAATTACAAATGTAATAGATGTGGGACTGTTATAATACAAACCTGAAGAAATTATTTACAAAATAGTAATAACTGTGACCCATGTTGTGTTGTAAATCTTTAATTGCGTCTCTTATGGGTTTAATTTCTCTCTTAATGATAATTGATATTTTGTCCATTATGTGATCGTGTTTTCGCTGCCCCCTCTTTTCTTTTATATTGTCAGAATCAATGATGTCTTCAAAACTTACACTTGTAATTATGTTTGTTGTTCTATACAGGCTGCGATCAGAGATAAATCTTCCAATTATGAGAGAGTTGGTTCCTCATTATCTCCAAGATACAGGACGGGTATGTGTTTATAATATTAGTGTATACCTGTATATGTTAATCGACTTGTACGTGTTACTTTTTATCCCTTTCTCTTTGGTAGTGTGAACCTATGGGTATTTTGGGATTGTGAAGGGAGGAAAAGGGAGGGGAAGGGAAGGTTTAATTAAAACATTCCTCATGTCTGTCAGTTTAATAAAATGGGGAGAAGAAAATGAGAAATCATCATGTGATCTTCCATGACCCTCCCTTATTGTTTTTTATGAACATTTTAAAGTCCCCCTAATTTTGGAGGATTTTAAACATCCAAAGAAAATAAACTTATTACTAAACCTCTCATTCTCTTCCTTTTTCATTTCCCTTCCGTCCAAATATCCAAACTTCCTTAAGTGACTGATTTGTGATAAAGAAGTGTTTTCTACTTTCTTTCTGTATATTTCTGTGACTTGCCAGTAAGCTTACTCTAATATATTTATCTATAAACATCCAGATCATAAAGGGGGTGAACCGGAGCAGTGGTAAAGTTGTTCTTTTATGACCGAAAGGTCATGGGTTCGAATCCAAGAAACAGCCTATTTGCAATTATGCAAGGGTAAGGCTGCGTACAAGGATTACCTCCACTCCACACTCGTTAGTCGGGTTTAACGGGGAGTGGTTTTAACTTTTTTTTAACTATCCAGATCATGCATATATCAATAAAATTTTCTTTTGCCATCTCTCTGAAACTTAACATTTTTTTGTTATTACCAGTATGCTGTTTACCCTCACTAGTCGGGGTTAAATAAAGAGAGTCTTTTTTATGAAGATGCTGCTTCATGCATTATTAAACGATTAAGATGGTTGTCTAATTCTTGTTATGATGGTTGCCGGTCTTGAGAATTGTAAAAAGATGTTTGATATTATATTATACTGCACTTGAGTTTATGTAGTTCTGGATTGTTTTATGCAATTACGTGGTTGAACTTGTGCTATTTTATATATTTTTTTTTTTTGATAGGAGAGATTGGATTATTTGGAAGATGGGAAAAATGTCTTCAGACTGCGTTTACGGCTATGTTCTTCTTTATACCCTATCAATGAACGCATTCGAGATTTCTTTCTTGAATATGATCGACACACTCTTCGAACAAGTCCACCTTGGGGTTCTGAACTACTGGAGGTATCTTTTTTGTCCAGCTTCACTTTTGGTATGACTTGGGTCTTCTTTCTTGTTTGTATTAATTGTTTCTCCTGTGCTTCTATCGGTTTTATATATTTTGAACTCATTATTGGGGGCTTTTTTTTATACCTTTTTGAACGGGAGAGTTTTTTCATTAGGTTTCTGGGTATGTCAAGGTATGCTTGCTTTGTGCTTGATTATACTGCCTGCCTGTATGATCAAAAATTGTTTTCAGTTATACAAAAATGAAAAGAAAGTGCTTGGAAACCTTAAATCTTCTCTCTCTCCCCTTATCGCTGTTTCTCACACATGTTGTTAAATTGCTCTTCTGTTTATAGTAAAAAAATGTATGTTGCTTTCTTACAGCTTAACCTGGATTAATTTATGGATTTTGTTTCCTTAGGGTGATCTTCATATTGTTTGTTGATCGAGTGGCCTGGTCATGGAAATATTTGAGAGCAGTTTTATTAATTTTTCTACATGTTTAGATTATTTTCTTTGTGCGTTTGTGCTTGTCTTTCTTCTGTTGGTTGATTTAGCGATAATTTTTGAAATATGAAAAAATGTTTTTTTCTGAATTGATACAATGATTTACATTGATAGGGGTATATATATAAGAGTAAATGAGAAAAAAATAGATAGGAATGACTCAACAATGAGTCATCAGCCAGCCCTATCGTATTTAATAACGAATTAATAGGAAATAAAAGCGGAAAGATTCTAATCCTAATTTCCTACACTCCCCCTCAAGTTGGGAGGTAAATGTTGATCATTCTCAACTTGCCAATCAGGTCTTCAAAGGATGGCCAGTGTAGGCCCTTAGTGAGGATATCTGCAGTCTGCTCTTTGGTAGGAATATACATCATACATATTAGATATATTGTAAGCTTTAGCTTTGTTAGCATTAGTTTAGTTTACTAATGTACTTTGTTATTTTACTTCTGGATGTATAGTATATATTCTCCTTTTCTGTTTGTAATTACTTCAGTTTGTTAGATCTATTAGTTTCTGATCTGTTAGACTCTCTTGCTCTATAAATAGAGCTTCTCTGTATCTCGCTCAATTAAGAATCATAATATGAAAGAATGGCTTTCTCATTCTCTCTCTCCTCTCTCTCTCTCTTCCCCTCCATCAAACTCTGATATGGTATGAGAGCTCTCTTTTTGAGGGCCTGATCCATTTCCTCTTCAATGGCTTCTGTTACAAAACTTCATCAGCAAATCATAGCAACAGTGTTCAGAGTGGTGCAAACCAAACTGTTCGAAGTGGAACGATGGAGAATAAAGCTCTTACACTTTTCAACTATCAGATTTTAGTAAAACTCATACGATAATTACTTGTTTTGGAACCAAATTGTTGAACCTATCATTAGTACACATCAGTTTCACAAATTTATGGTTAATTCGAAGATTCCGCTGAATTTCTTGACAGAGGAATATCGCGAGAACGAAGCAGTAAATCCTGCATTTCAGGAGTGGCTTATGCAAGATCAAATGTTGCTGCCCTAGTTGCTTTCAACTATTTCAGAGCCTGTAATGAACAAAATTTTAGGAGTTAAGCATTCACATGAGGCTTGGGATTAAATTCACAAGATGTTTCATGGAAAAAAATGAAATTTAAGGCTAGGCAACTTAGATCTGACCTTCGTTTTATCAAGAAAGGCACGAAATCAGTGTCTGAGTATCTTTCCAGAATCAAATCTTTGTGTAACCCCTTGAAAGCGATTTGAAATCTAGTCTCAGAAGAAGATCACATCAATTATATCCTTGAAGGTTTACCTTCAGAGTATAATTCATTTGTTCTGAACGTGCAGAGTCGTGAAAAGGCATGCTCACTTGCTGATATCGCTGTGGATCTAATGGATTATGAACAACTCTTACTGAAACAGAGTGAAAGTTTGCTTGCTGATCCAGTCTCTGAATGTCGCTCAAGCTCAAAAACCAGTGCAACAAAATCCTCTGTTCAACTCTGTATCTTCAAACAGTGAATAGAGCATGGACCAATTGAACCAGACTTCAGGTTCTCATCTTCCAGGTCACTTCAATGCTCCTAACACAGATCGTGGAAGGTATAGAGGATGATTAAATAGAGGTAGAGGTCGTGGAACTCGTACGAACGTACATTGCTAGCTGTTTTGCAAGTTTAGACACGATGTCCACTCTTGTTGGTACATGTTTGATGAGAACTTTGTGCCAACGCTTCCACCTCCCACAGTTAATACACTAGCTCATTTTTTTAAGTTCCACCAAAGCAACATCAATTTACTTGTCAACCATAACAGAACCAGTATCGGCAACCACAACAGAACCTATATCAGCGTCTTTATCAGTATATTTATCAGCCTGTTGAAATTGCTGTTCCTCAAGCAATGATTGCTGCACAACAACCAACTCTACTTCCTACACCAACCACACAATCTGCTTTGGAGTGGTATCCTGACGCTGGAGCAATAGGAGTGCTAGAGGGTTTACACTCAAGTTTTCCCGATTCTTTAAGAGGATCAAGAACATATTTTCTCTAGCTGATAAAAATTAATTCCTTTGAATGAGCTACCTCTATCCCTAGGAAATATTTCAATCCCTCCCAAGATCTTTAATTTCAAACTCAGAGGCTAGCCGTGCTTGAGAAAATGTTTCTCCGCAGTATCATCACCTGTTATAATAATTTCATCAACATATACAAGGAGCACAGTTAGCTTCCTATCTTGGGAGTACTTGAAGAATAGTGTGTGATCTCCTTGATTTTGTTTATATCCTAAGGCCAGCATAACTTTAGTAAATCTCTCAAACCAGGCACGAGGAGACTGTTTCAATCCATACAAGGCCTTTTTTAACCTGCAAACTTTATTTCTTCCATCCATAGAGCCAAAGCAAGGTGAGATTTCCATGTAGACTTCTTCTTCTAACTCGCCATTAAGGAAAGCATTTTTCACATTAAATTGATTCATATCCCAGTTGTAATGGGCAACAAGCGACAATAAAGCTCTCACAGTATTCATCTTTGCAACTGGGGCAAATGTTTTTTTCATAATCAATGCCCTATGTTTGAGTGTAACTCTTGGCAACTAACTAAGCCTTACATCTCTCAAGAGTACCATCAGAATTATATTTCAAGGCATAAACCCATCTGCACCCTAGTGCTTTTTTCCATCTGGTCTATAAACAACCTGCCATATTTTATTTTTCTCCAAGACATTCATCTCATCTTGCATGGCTCGAGCCCAATTCTCATCTTTTAATGCTTCATGTACTGATTTTGGGATTGAGATAGAATCTACTGTTGAAATAAAACTTTTGTGCTGCACATAAAGGTTAGTAGAAGAGACAAAATGAGAGATATGATGTTGGGTACGAGATCTTTTCCCTTTTCTTAGGGTAATAGGTAAGTCATCAGAGGTACTGGGTAAGCTATTAGAAGCAACAAGCAAATCATTAGAGACAACAATATTAGGTTTAGAAACAGGAGAAGTAATAATATAAGGATCAGAAACAAGAGATTTAGGACTTGACATTGGTTCAAGCGATTGGGGTTGTTTGTGAAGCAGTGTGGGCTGCTTTCTCATATGATATACCAACTCAGGTGTCACAATCATTCGTATTTTTGATTTATCAGATGAGTCACACACAGAAGAATTAGAAACAGAAGGAAGAGGTGTAGGAGAAGATATGGAAGGTCCATACTTAAAGAATAAAGGTGATGAATCTACTGAAGAACTGCTCTCCTCCTGAGGATGAGGACTTGGGAAAAAGGACTCAAATTCATGAAATGTGACATCCATTTAGACAAAGAATTTTTGATTAGCAGGATGATAACACTTGTAGCCTTTCTTATCAGGGGCATAACCAAGGAAGATACATTTGAGAGCCCTAGGATCCAACTTACTACGAAGATATTTATGAACGTGGACAAAGACAATACACCTAAACACTCGTGGCTGAAGACTCTGCATAGAGGGAACAGAGGGAAAGAATGAAGTCATTGAGTGAATAGGACTTACATTGTCAAGGACCCGAGAGGGCAAGTGGTTGATTAAGAAAGTTGCTGTAAGAATTGCATCTCCCCAGTAGCACTTGGGTACATGATTCTGAAAAAGTAAGGCACGAGTAACTTGAAGAAGATAACGATTCTTCCTCTCGGCATCTCCATTTTGTTGAGGGGTGTCCACACAAGTAACTTCATGAATCATGCCCTGATCTTGGATGAATTTGGAAAGACGCTGATTGACATATTCAGTACCATTGTCGGACCTTTGTCTTTTAATTCTTTTACCAAATTGGGTCTCAATCATTTTATAAAATTGAAAGAATAACTGTGGTACCTCAGATTTTTCATGTATTAAATAAACCTAAGTTACACGAGTGTAATCATCAATGAAAGAAACAAATCATTTATTACCAGAAGCATGAGGAACTTTAGAAGGACCCAAAACATCAGAATGAACAAGATCAAAAGGCTCAACACTTTTAATGGTACTAGAAGGAAAAAAGACACGATGGTGTTTATCAAACTCACAAACATCACAATGAAAACACTTAACAGACTTAGACAAAAATAATGATGGAAATAAAGATTTAAGCAAACGAAATGGAGGATGTCCCAAGCATTTATGATGGAGCCAAATCAAAGAGTCGGCAGTAGACTGAGACTGAGTCAATAAAGTGTGAACCTTAGCATACTTTGCTGAAAATTTTGGCACCAGATAGTACAGCCCACCTTGCTCTTTAGCACCCCCAATCGTGTTCCCCGTGGTGAGATCCTAAAAAACACAATGAGTAGGGAAGAAAGTTGCAGAGCAATTTAAATGTTTGGTAATTTTATGGATAGAAAGAAGATTAGTGGAGGGTTTGGGAATATAAAGAACATTTTGGATATGTAAGGAAGATTGTAAATATATGTTACCGGAACCTGCAACTGATGTGTGTGAGCCATCAGCTACGACTATTGTATGGGTGCCAATAGTTGGGTTATAAGAGATAAAGGAGTAAGCACAACAAGCCATA